GTGATGATAATAGTGAAAGACAAAGACAACATTAAAATTCGAAACACTTAACTAGTACTATAATTATTTTTTAATCATATATTTGTGAGTTTCACTTGTTATTTATTACTTGTGAAGTTTTTAAGATCTGAAACTTATTTTCAACTTATTCTGAAAATGATAAAAATAGGCGACGTAAAAATGGATGGATTTCATTCGATTTATTTATTGTTGTAATTTCTGTAGAAACATTAAGTGGATGACCTATTGTGGACCGAATCTTTATGTCATGAATCATTCATTGGTTGTCAGAGAGAGACATGAAACGTTTTTTTCGCGTTAATTCTCTTCTTGCTGTGCAAAAATGGATGGAATGAATTTGTTTTAAAAATCGTCTCTTTGTTTTAAGTATACATTTTGTGTTATTGTTAGGAATTAATTTTCAGATTATGAAACTTTTCATATCGGCAATTGATATTTATCATCATTGAAATGATAATGCTATGTAATAATAACCATTATTCAAATGCATATTTGTTTTTAAAGCGCATTTAAAATTAAATAAAATATTTTTAACTTATTTCGCACTATTCTGACAATGATATGCGTTGATGAATTTTTTTATGACAGGTTAATGTTCTAAAATAATTATTTTGAAAGCATTTTTATTGAGTATAAGATCGCTGTATTTATCGTAATTGGAAAAAAAAAGTTAATAAGCATATTAAATCGTATTTAATCCTAAGCATTCAGGTTTTATGGATTTAAGATCGCTGGGTTACACTCGTACTGTCTTCAACGTTTTTATACTGTCATCTTTATTTTTCCAAGAATGTGTCTGGTTTGCCCTGTTTTCCTCTAATTCAGGTGTATGAATATCCTATTTTTTTTCACGGAAGAAACCGGAAATAGTTTCTTTCTGCCCAGAAAAGCAACAAAGTTACATTTGAATATTTTTGTTCTGGTTCAATTCTTTCGCTGCTGATCCATTCGCTTTGTTTCATTATGAAAGAAGTTATATTTTTTTGACGAGCATATATAATGTTCATTTTATTATTAATATTTTCTTTTATCCTTTTGAATAAACTTGCGAAGCGTGTTATTTATCATGATGATGACTCAGACTGCGGAAAGATTTCAATCGGGAGCTGCTGCAAATTTCTTTCCCCAACTGAGGGAATAAAAGGCAAATGATAAGGGGGGAACGTCTTGTGTAACATTTTGATGCAAAAATGCTTCAACTTCTTAATCTCATTCTCTCTCGTGAAATTCTTATCCACGTGAATGGATATCTTATTCAGATTTGTGTAAGAAAGGATTATTATTATTTATATATTATTATTATTATTATTATTTTTTTTTTTTTTTTTTTTTTTTTTTTTTTTNTTTTTTTTTTTTTTTTTTTTTTTTTTTTTTTTTTTTTTTTTTTTTTTTTTTTTTTTTTGCCTTCCCTTCCTAACGCTCAGTGCTTCTTCCAATTATAATGTTCAAATTCTTTCGCTCTTTATATATTTTATTTATTTATTTTTAGTCATACAAATATGAATTTTAAGGTCGAGAATATTAAATTTCCTTATTTTTTAACTGGTTATTTTACGCAAATATCATTGAAGTTTCATAAAATTACTAGCCAGCTTTGGCGACCAGCTTGGTCTCCTTTCAAAGTTATATTTGTACATCATATAAACTTTAATGGTAACCAAGCCGAATGCACAGTACAACTGTATTTAAATATTCTAATTCTTCAACCCCTCCTCCAATCCTAACAACCTTAATTCGTTTTAAACAAATATATGAACAAATTTTTTTCCCCCACAGTTTAGTTGTTGCCCTCTGCGGAAGTACTTTGATTTCCATTTTAACTTTTTTCTGGAGATGTCCGCAACATTGTCTATGTTCTTTAAGTACTGAATTTTTGTAATAATTTAAAATCTGTTCGACAGACAAAGACAATCACCGTCACCAACAATTGGTATGATCGTTTTCAAATTTTCTCACCCTCTTACTGTTGCCACTTTGATTCCAATTTTAACTACATTTAGATATTATTCCGATATTGTCAAAGTTCTTTATGTATTGATCGCACACGGAAAGTGTATGATTTTGGCACTTATCAGCATAGTAGGCAGCAGAAGTAATTTTAATCTCTGTCGTGATATGATCCCAATCGTGCCAATGCGTGCTGTACCAATTCCTCGCTCACCTCTCGAGCCATAACTTAAGTATCGTGTAATGTATAATGTTATTGCTTGATGTATATAATGTTATTGTAATGTATCATGCTATTGCTTGGAAAAGACAAGCTCAGTCACTAATAATTGGTATGATAGTATGCGGCACCATAGCACTGTTTATGTTTAAAATTTTTACAGTCATTTTAGAAAAGATAAAAAATAAATCTTAATACTTCGTAACTAATTTTTTATTCTGCAGAAATACAAAATTATTCTAAACAAATACTTAACGTATAACTAACTATTCAACAATTCTTAAATTATTATTTAAGACAACCTAACATAATCAATAACAACTATGTTGTCAATAATTAATATTATTAATACAAATACCCGAGATTATGATGCCACATAAAAGAAATATATATATTAAAAATAAACTGGAATGTCTTGAATCATATTGGATCATATTTTGAATCAGGAATCTAGTGAATCTTGGAATCTAGTTGACACTGTATCGCATCTACCAAATTGGATTACCTGATTCTAAATAAACTAATTTTTATCAGGAATCCCATAATTTGAATTACCTGGTTCGAGTGTTATTCTCATACAGTATTTGCATCTAACTTTCCTCACTTTTCCATTGAAATAATTTCCACCAATACAGGGAAAAAGAAAAATCTCAAATCGCCCACCCACTACAGAAAAAGGATGTAAAAGAAACAATTTCTGGGAAACGCCATTCACCCTCCTACGAAATTCCTGCTTTTTGCTACTTGGTTTAAACAGATGAAAGCTACAAAAACAGGAAGCAAGGTTCACGGCCTATTCACCCTTTTTGGAAAGTGGTTGTAAAACACCAGACCTTTAAATTTTTTTCCTAGTTGTATAATGAAATGGCATATCCGTGGAATATTTCTTGGGAGGTCTTGTGTCGGTGAGGCACCCACTGGGGGGAAAGAAGTTTTTTATCATGTGCCGCACTACTAAACTCAATAAATGTTCATTAAATGGCTTGTTTCCTCATTGAAATGATTTAATGCTTGCTCAATGTTTCTGCTTTTTGATGCTGATGCAATTTTATTCCAATCCATTAAATCTTTATTTTAGTGTTTTGTTTTATGTGAGTGGGAACATCGAACCGTTGTTGTAGTCTCGCCCATAATTATTTGTTTTTCTTACAATGTTATTTTTACCAATGAGTAAAAAATCATGATTTCTTTTTAATAGATTTTTTATTAAATTATTGAGTAAAAGACAAACATTTATTATGTATAAACTTGGTATTAAATATATATTCTATAATTTTCCTAACCATAATTTTAAGATTGACAAGGTAAAAACATTCTTTTTTGAAGCTCATTCGCCGCAGAAAGTAGAAAAGGCACAGTTTAAATGCCTTACACTTAAAGCAAAGCTATCATTTTACACTATATATAACATCTTGCCCTGTCTTACTGAATTATCTGGGCTCTAGAACAGACAAATGACTAAAATATTTTTAAAATTCACTAATATGCAGACATTTTTCCACATAGATAAAAATTATCAAAATGACTGCCTTATTTTCAGTTTTTGCAAATTTTTATGAGCCCAGATAATGCAGCATTAAAGTAAGTTTTTAAATATTGTACAATTAGTCCACAAAAGCTTTTCATTTTTAATAAACTGATAGCTTTTCTTCATATTGATGTTTTGTGCCATTTTCAGAATAAGCATACGGGATCGCTGGTTCTAGATAGGCTAAACTTGACACAATCGCGAGTAACTGTTGTAAACTCACAGCAGTTATGAAAATAGCATTAAAAAAGTCATCATTTCCTGTGACGATGGAGCCTTTGAAAAACAGCCTTAATAATTATACCTAATATATCTTAGTAGATTCAAACTAATTATTAGACTAACTAATTGTTGCCAAACTTATTGCTCATATCCTTTTTTATAGTCACCCTAAAAACACAGGCGGGCATGTGACACACTGTTTTTTCTTTCATTAAATTTTTTTTTTAACTTGTTATATTTCATTAATAACGATTTTTAAGGAATCGTGTTATGTGACCAATTTAAGTAAACATTTAAATAAATTTTTAATAATGTGATTTTATTTTTTATGCTGTTTCACCAAATATGAATTTTAGTTCACAATATAATGGTAATTCAATGGTATTATTTTAAATAAATCAAGTTTTAAGTAATTAGGCTTAAGTAATTCTGTTGAATGTAATTTCCACCATTTAAAACTGAAACTTAATATGAATCTTAGTAATATATTTTTTAGATTATGTTTGCAGAGAGGACATATTTTATATTAAATAATTCTTATTATAGAATTTTCAAATAAATTAGGGAATCTGGTTTGATTTTCTTGATTGATGATGGATTTACGACTAAAGGTTTGAAATATGTTTAAAAAAGTATTAAAATGGTTAATTAGAATGGATAAACGATTAGTAATTATTATTATTTTTATTTTTTTTAAATATAATAAATATGTTTTTTTTCCCCTCCGGCCTAGCAGTATTTTTGTATTTAGGCTAGATAAAATTAGTTTATTTATTTTTTTGTACTCCATTTTCGATCTTTAATTAATAAATATACATTTTTGAAGTGTTGGTATAGAAAATATTGATACATTTCAGGCACTTCTTGTTATCTAAAGATATTGGCTTTTTATGGTACTTAATTAATTTGTTTAAATATCTAAAATAATGTTTAACAAAATGTAATGAATTGGATGATAAATAACAAGATGTTGTTTTGTCCTCAGATTGTTTTCATTTTATGTGTAATATTTGTTGGAATTTTAGGCACACATTTTCAATTGGTCTTTTTTCCCTCCTTTAGTTGGTAGTAGTCTCTGGCTTGACAATGTTAAAGGTTGCGAGGAAGGTGAGAAAAAGAATTTTGCTTTTCATTTATACTGCTTCTCTTTTTGGTTTTTTGTTCTTTTTCATTGTGTGAATCAGTTTGTGTGCATGCATTCTCACGCTGAACATGATATTTAATAAAATTGCTTTACCCGTCTGTAAAATTAATGCATTGAATGACAGGTCGAATGCTTTTTCTGTTTTTGAGTTCTTCTTTCTTCAATAAGCCTTGAAATACTCTTCTTTATGATTCTGCTATATTTTTTTCTCCTTTTCGTGCTCTTCTATTTTTTATTAATTGATTTTTAATGTTAAAAATTATTTTTACGTAAAAAATATTTCAATGTTTGTTTAAAAAAAATAAAATATGCGTTTATTTATGTTTGACCAGAATTAAGTGAAATTGAGTGTAATTGTTCTTCGCATTGTCAATCTTATTTTTATGATTAATCATTAAAATATTTTTTTATTCATCAAGTATTAACATAACAGAAAATGTTTCAATCAGCATTAAAATAGAGGATTGCTATTAAAATCTTTTAATCGACTTGTTTTAATTGAAATTTCCAGCAACGTTATATCAATACACCAACTGGAGAAATTTTGTATTTTTTTAAATTTTTTTTAGTCTTCTCACTTAGTTATTTTTAATCGAAAGTTAAAGTAGGTAGTTGAAAATGAATAGGAAGATGTGGGGACGTTATTTCTTTTGATCACGTGGGAATAAAAAATGTAAAATTAAATTTTTGCTAAGATGTTGTCAAAAAACAAATAATAGTTGGTTTAAAATTATATAGCCTACATATGATTGAGCTCTGGTTTGGAAGAAAAAAAATTACTATAGGCATAGGGTATCCGTTCCATTCGCAAAATTTCGAAAACCTATCTTGACAACGGCCAACCAGCAAAGAGCACCACTTAGTAATATTATTATTTGTGTTCTGGCTTAATGTTCATGTTTGCTATGTTATACATAGATTGATATCCAGATAAAGCCATATATGAGGGGGGGGAAACAACTTAAGCGGATTATTTAGTGAAGAATAAAATAGAATTTTCAAAAAAATTTATGAAAATTATTTGTACAAAAGAGTAATTTTTGCATAAATTTACATAAAAATGGATGTAAATTGGAATTTAAATTGTCCCAATGTTTTTTTCTTTGTCCATAAAAGAGTTTTTACAAATGGATTAGTAATTTAACAAGCGTAAAACATATTCTCTGGACTCAGCAAGAAACTACTTAAGAATCGAACTTTATAATAAAGAAAAAAAATTAACGTTATTAAATCAGCGCTTGTATCACGCAGCTATTAATAAAATAAGAATTCTGTCAAAAGTTGTTTGTAATTTAAAGCATAGTTCCCAAGGAAAAATTGTTTAATAAACCGGATTTAACATATTTTGTCTTTTTTGGATTTTTCAATAACTTAGCTTAAGACAAACAGGAAAATTTTCGAACGATAATGATGAATTTATATTATTTTTTTTTTTAAATTATAATCTATAAATTTACCTTGGAAAAAAATTAGGGTGGAACTATTTTTTTTATGATTACATTTAAGGTAATTTGCATACAGCTTAAACTACAAAATAGTTTCCATCTTTTTTCTTACCTTAATTCATCAAAATCTATTATTATTTGCTTTATGTCTGTCACATAACAATCTATTATATTTCCCGAGGAAAATAATTGCCGTCATTAGTCTTAAAAAATGTTAATTTCTATTTTTCATTTATTTTTTAAGATAAAGCCTTGAAAAGAAACTTTCGAACTAAAATGCATTAGTTATATCAACTGAGAATTTTACTTTACACAATCTGTATTTATGTCATCATAAAAAATAAAAATAACTATTCATAAATATATTTAACTTAAACATGCAATTCGATTATTAACTGCTTTTTTATTCAGTTTGTGAAGTCGAGCGTGACCGCATTTCGTGGAAGTGATAGAATGTAATTGTTCGTTTACCTGCAATTTCTAAAATGGAATGCTAATGCATATAACTCTAACAACATACTTCGTTGATGTTTGTTGAAAGCTGTTAAAATTGTAATTTATATATCTCGAAAATACTTTGTAAATATGTACTTAGTTCTGGTGTAGTATAGGTACATAGCTTTCGAGTCTGAATTATCATTCGAAATTTTAAAACTGCCACATTAAAAATTTAATGTTTTTTACTTTTTGGTAATGCAAATATATAAACAGGTTTTTGTATGTCTAGTTATGGGTTGAAACAATATTTTCATAGAGTGCAAATTTACTTTTAGTTATTAGCATCAAATTTTTTTTGCACTGGAAAGTGTGGGGAGAAGAAAAACGGCGTCTGGTAAAGTAATAAATGAAATTCATCAGAACTTAAGTATTTTTAAAAAGCCTAACGATTTTTTTTCTTTTGAAATTTTCTTTATATTTTCATTTTATTTTGTTTTAATTTATTCTGTTTTATTTCTGTATAGTTAAAAACGTACTTAAAATTTAAAATTAACATTTAATAATCTTTGTATTTTTTATGAAAGATACGTATACTTTTACACAGAATCTAAAATTTTGTTTTATTGATCCTAGATTTTTATTAAAGGAAATATCGAAAAAATCGTTTGCTATTATCACATGTACATTAAATGGTTACGGTACCTTAATCTATTTAATTATACTAAAGTTAAGAACTTTTAACTTTTTCTGTTACAGTCCAATAATTTCCACTCTTGCAAATAAAAAACTTTAATTTGGATAACATCAAAAATTTAAATATGTCATCACGTTGCATGCTATGTAAACATTCATTTTCAAACGATCTATATTTAAATTGTTGCCTGAACGCATAAAATAATTCCTATCTTGGAATATAAATGTAGGTAGTATTTTTTTTTATGAGTGTCACGGAATATGAAATTTTCCTTTGCTAACTTATTTTTGAGTACAAAATATACTATTAACAAATCTGGGGCACGGAAATTCGTTGATGGCACTCTTTGAAACTCAATTGTTAGCTAATTTTCAACTAAATCGTCTTATTGTGAAATCGTTTTCGGAAAGGAAAGATGAAATTATTCTTTTCGTCTATCTTTATGGGAAATTTTATTCTTTTATTGTGACCTTGGAGAATAAAATACTTTGCGTTCTTAACGAGATTCCGACAAGTGAAGGTCGTCCTTTTATACTTTTTAAATGACGAGATGAAAAAGGGACATTGGCCTTATTCTGTTTTTGGTCATTAGCTAAGCCGATTAAAATATTTTCTACCTTAGTTGTTGTTCTACGTTTTAAGATTGTTAAAATGAAAGAAGAAACATTGTTTTCTTTTCTTTTTTTCTCAGGTTTTTTTTTTACCTTCGCGTTTATAAGTTATTGATGATGTATTTTTAAGAACAGGTTTCTGCGAAAGAATTAAACTAAAGAATTAAATGCAGGGTGTGAAAGGAACTTTACGAAGGTTCAATTAATTAATTAATTATGGGGAGAAATACTAGGCTTGAAAATATTTTTGAATATATCTGTGTGTATTGATCCGATTTGTCATAGAGTAACATGAAACTTATCGCGTTAAAAATAAAAAGAATAGGGGGGGGGAAACAGTTTTAGTTATAATCATGGACTTGTAAAAAGTATTAAGTTTATTTTTTCTGAATAATTTTTTCACGTTTATCGCTTGAAGTTATTCAGTTTTCAAATACAATACCACTGTTAACGTAACTAAAATTTAAAAGAAAGCATCTTTTTCTTTTTTTTTCTTCCATTATTGACTTTTTTTTAAAAAAAAATTGTAAAGGTAAAATTGTCTTCTAAATAATTTTAGAAGTATTTCAAAGCTTCCGTTTTGAATAATAGAAAAGAAGGGGCAAATATTTAACATATTTTCCGCCTTATCGGTCACGCTTGCCTGACGTTAGCATTGACCGCGTCATCGGATAGGCGTGAGTTTCTCATTCATGACTGATGCACTGATTCTTATTTTAGTTTTTTAGTCAGAAAAGTGCGAAGAATAATAATCCATTGTCATAGTAGTAAAATAATATTTTTATTATTATTTTCGTGTGTTAAAAGTTTATTCAATAAATTACTCTCCTGCTAAATATTAATTACAGTGATTCGGTTAACGTAAAAATCCTCAAGAATGTCATTAAAAATTTAAATGCTCTTATAATTAAAATAATCTCCTAATAATTAAAAAAAAATCCCCATATAATTCAATGATCTGATACATAATTTTCTAAATTTACCTATAACATATTGTATTAAAATAAACCAATAATTCGTCGTGACGTATTTTTTAATAAAATTTGAAATAAAATTTAAAAAGTAAACTTAAATAAGTAAAGAAGAAAGGGGAAATATATAGTAATGTATGTTGTACTGTAGAGGGCAAAAAATTAAGAAATTTGACCTAATCTTCATTAAAACATGATATCCCATGGAAAAGTGTCCAAGCTTTTAATAGAATTTAAATAAGAAAAACTAAAGATTTAAAGGAATTTGATAAATTCATGAAGAAATAATTAAAAAAAATATTAACTCATTGCTTAAATAACTTATTACTGCTAAAGAACAGAGTGTATATTTAAAAAAAAAAAAAAAAAAAAAAAAAAAAATTAAAAAANAAAAAAAAAAAAAAAAAAAAAAAAAAAAAAAAAAAAAAAAAAAAAAAAACTTCTTTTTCTCTCATTTAGTTCTTTTTCAACCTGATTTCTAGCAATAAAGTGGAAAATCTTTATGGCATTTCTGGATCTATGGTTGAATTGTTTGCAATCTATGATATAGTGATTCTTTTTCTTTTTTTCATTCTTTATATTTTTCTGCTATTAGATTGAAGTATTGTCTACTTTATTCCACCATTTAAATATTTTGATCTGTTTCATTTTAAGTCATAAATCAAAATTTCCCATAAAAGATTTAATAAAGGATTATTTTAATTTGCAGAAGCTCTTCTGCAGAGTCGACCTCTCCCAGAGATTCCAGGTTTGCTGGATGACTCCTCTGCTGGTCTTCCACTGAGCATAGAAACTGCATCACGATGGATGTCCAAGGAGAATTTATTATTGCAAGAGGACGCTGATCCCCAAGTATTTGTGGCTCTGTACGATTTTCAATCGGGAGGAGAGAATCAGCTTTCCCTTAAAAAAGGTACACCTTTCATTTTCTCATAAGACCATTGCAACGCCTTCTCTGAAAGCATAATTACTTGAATAATTAAAATTTTTAAGAACAAAATCGAAATGTTTATTATTATATAACCGATGTTGTACAGCTGACCGAATTTTGATTTAGCAATTACCAATGTTCAACTCAGTGGCCTTGTAGTTTTGAACCCAATCCAGAAGGCAAGGGAGCTCCTTGATCAAGTACTGGGAGAAATTTGCCTTTATAGAGGACTTTTTGATGAAGCAGGGTGCATAGTGTTTCTAAAAAGTGCTTAAAGGTGCTTATTTTCGATTTTCGTTTTTAAAAGCCCTAAAAGGTGATATTTTTCATTGGGTGTTTTTAAAAAGTGCTTAATTTCCCTTTTCCAAAATGAGATTTTTCCTTTACCATGTTGATTTTCGCTACGAATTATGCAGAAAGACGCTGTTCACATTGTTCTATTCTACGTTTTCACAATTAATTCAACCCCAATCTATTTCTTCTTATCGTCAGTCTGTAGCGTATCGAAACGTCATTCGATTTACATAATTAAAAAACTTTGCCCATTGTCAAAAACAATTCCCGAAAGTTTTTTTAAAATTTTTCGACATGACGGTAGTCCTTAAAAATATTATTTGAGTCCTTGAAAAGTGCTTATTTTTTGTTAAATAATTTGGCTATGCACCCTGTGAAATGAACCTTCATATGCATTACATGGAGAGGAAAACCACAAAACCTCCTATGATTAGCCATAGGGCAAGGGGACTTTAACCCATGATCGGTCTACCACTGAGGATATTTTACATCACTGTGGTCTGTGCGAGTCAGGTGCGAAATTCGTATCGACCAATCATTGCTGGGATTTGAACCCAGGCCACCTCATCAGGAGGTGACCACTTTACCCCCCCCCCCCCCCCNCCCCCCCCCCCCCGAGCCACCATGGCACTAAAAGTTTGAAAATGCTGGAGATCAAACACCAAGAAAATATGCAGCTACCGTGTTTATTAAAGTTTTTCTCTAGGAAAGAAGAACATTTTGAGCGCCTTAAACTTGAAGCTGAGCTTTAATTGACTTTAAAATGGACAAATATTTTTAAATATCATAATGATTATTTAGCTTTTGTTTAAAATCGAAGATTTGGCAATATTTTCCTTAAGAATTTAAGCCGATAGAAATAATGAATAATTTGAAATTTTCCCATGGTTTAAAAGAGCTCAAACAAGAGTTAGAGTAATTTTTTAAATATTAAAAAAGGAAATTATAAACTTTTTTTTATTTTCAAAAAAAAAAAAGGAAAAAAGTGTAGCATTTCTTTATTTTAAAATTTTGTGTCGCATGAATGCCTATGACTGCCAAGGGCTTGTGTTTAGTTTATGAAACAAATTCCATTTATGATTGAATCTTATGAATAAGTAATTAATATACTAATTTTTAAATTTTTTATTAATATAAATCGTCAAATTCTTTATATCTAGCAAACTGTTTTTTATCTTTAATAATCCATTCCATCTGTAAAAGGTCAGGTATTAAAATACAAATGGCATCAAAATTCTGGGCTTTAGTAATACTGTTTGGCTCATGAAAAAGTTTTCGAAACTAATAATAAAAAAATAACTAAAAATACTAAATAATACTAAAAATAACTTTAAAAAGGTTCTTTTTTTTGTGTAGATTTTACATACATAAATTGTTTATCCATTCATGTACACTGCTGCCTATTTCTTATGAATCTTATTGTTCTCTCCTTCTTAGAAGAGTTGCCTTTATTTTCTTTTCTATGTTTTGTTAGAAGAAAGAACAATTACACAACCAAAAAAAATCACTAAATCTTAGAGAAGACAAATAGTCTACAACAATCGGAAAAACTCTAATAAAAAGACATGTCTTTGCAATTTTAAATCCTTATGTCTAATTAAAATAATTATATGTTTTGTGACATTAAAGAAAAATTCTCAGAAAGTATAAAGTATCAGAATACAAAATAAAGTTTTTAAAATAATATTTTTGTGGATGAATTGGGAGCAGTTTTTTAAACTCTGAACTTGTGATTTATCATATGTAAAAAATTCATTCTTTTCTTGTAATCAAAAATATATAGAAATTCTAAATATATATACATACATATATCATAAAATTTTGTGGTTTTAGGTAATTTCTTATCAACTATGTTTAAAATGTATTGTTTCAAATTCACATAGGCTTTATCTAACCCCTTCCTTCTCGCTCCCGTGAAAATGACGGGGTGAGATTTAGCCCTCTGTTTCTCGCTCCCGTGATATATCCGGGCTGGAGTGTTCAGTAGTAACGCTCCAATGAGGATAAAACTAATTCATTTCTTTCGCCCGGAAAACATTTTATTTCTCATTTTACACACCAGGTGGCAGTACCAAGATATTTTAAGGTAATTGTAGATAGTTTATTTTAAACTAGGTGTCAGCACTAATCAGGGATAAAAATAAAAAAAATCGCTTTCATGGAAATTAACCGATTGTTAAGGGGTTAAATCATTTTAAATTTTAAAATAAAGAAAACAAATTTTTTTTCTGAAATTGAAAATAATTACCTTATAAATCTTTTTCAGCTCAAAAGTTTGGTTTTTGATATTTTGGGTATATTATTCTTATCTTCAACTTCTGTTTTATTTGATTAGTGTTTTTCGTACACGCTAAAAATGTTCTGGCTTTTAATTTTAAAATTTGTGCAATATTTAATCTAACTGCATGTTTCAGGTGAACAAGTGAGGGTCCTTTCCTACAACCGAACTGGTGAATGGTGTGAAGCTCAATCGAGAACTTGTCAGGTGGGCTGGGTGCCAAGCAATTACATCACTCCCGTGAACAGCTTAGAAAAGCATTCTTGGTATCATGGGCCCATCTCTCGTAATGCAGCTGAGTACCTATTGAGTAGTGGCATTAATGGCAGCTTTCTTGTTAGAGAAAGTGAAAGCAGCCCTGGTCAGAGGTCTATTTCTTTGCGTTATGAAGGGAGAGTCTACCATTATCGGATAAGTGAAGATACAGACAGTAAGGTAATGCTCAACATTCTTAAAAAATAGTTTTGTTAGTAAAATAGTTAGTAAAAAATAATTCTTAATAAATTAATTGTTATAAAAAAAGTCATCTGAAAAGTTCATAAAAATTTCTGTCGGAAAATATCCAATTATTTGAAAAGGTTGAAATGTACTTATACTTCTTAAAATTTAAGAGCATAATACAAAATTTTCACAATCTAAAATTATGCAAAATTGCGAGGGAGAAAAAGCATTTTTACTAAAATATTTGTTGAATGTAAATATATTAATTAAATGATTAACCAATTTTTTTATTTATTCCTTTTATTTGACTTTGTTAAATAGTTAAATATGAAGTAAATCATTCATGCTTATATGATTGCTAATTTTACTCTAGCCTTTATTTTTCTTTCTTTTTTTTTTCTTCTTTTTTTTAATTTTCTATATATTTTTTCTTTTTTTAATCTTCCAAATGTTATTTTTTTATCATACTTTTAAAACTATATACTTCTTTTCTTAAAGTTAAAGCTTAAGAAGCTTTTAAAATTGTTTTTTTTTTTTTTATTATACCATTGTTATATTATTTAAATCCATATAATGATGTTTCGAAAACATATTTTAATTCATATTTGTATCTTTTCCTATATTTTTGTTATTTAAAAAACTAAATTTTACAAAATTGATATGTAATCGTTGTATGTGTTACAGGTTCTTTATGTGTAATACTCTTTCAACAACATACAATATTAATTGGTTGCTATATTCATTGCTAAAATGTTGTTAATTTCATTGATTAACTAATTTTTTAAAATTAGTGGGTCCTCATAGTTGGTCTTATGATTTACAGGTTTTTGTGACATCCGAATGCAGATTTAACACTTTAGCAGAGCTCGTCCATCACCACTCTATGCATGCAGATGGTTTAATAACTTTGTTGCTTTACCCTGCACCTAAAAGAAACAAACCTACAGTGTTTGCATTGAGTCCTGAGCCTGATGAATGGGAAATCGATCGAACTGATATTGTAATGAAACACAAATTGGGTGGAGGACAGTATGGAGATGTCTATGAAGCAATTTGGAAACGATACAATGTTACTGTTGCTGTTAAAACGCTAAAGGTAAACTTACTTATTGTTCTCATCTTTAAATCTGTTAGAAGTTTTTTGTTAGATCACTTTGTATCAAACTTTGATTCTTTGTTAACAACTGTATCTACCCAGGAAAATTTTTACTGAGATTTGCAATTAGTTCAGTAAATTTATTTGAATAAACTGCCATGTCTACCAAATGTCTCGAAAATGACAATTTGAAAAATTTATGATTTTCTGATGTACGAATCTATTTTTCGTTTCTCTTAATTTCAGTGAAAATGGAGATCAATTTATATGTAGAATTTTCTTGAAATCTTCTGAAATATGACCCGTAACATAAAAATTTTTATAAATGTAAAGTTCTATTTTTTTCCCCATAACTATTGTGGCATGTTTGTTAAAATAATCTATCAATTTCATGTAACTTTGTTTTTTCAATATTTTTTTTCTATTTGTGTAACATTTCTGAATGTTAGACAAATTAATTAATGATATATAATTTTATTATATATCATTATTTAATTAAATAAATCCATTTCATTAAATAAATTCATTTATTTAATTAAATCCATTTTATTAGTACTCTTTATTTGCATTGGTTATATCAGCCATTTTTGAGTATTTCTTAGCATGAAATAAATTTGATTCATGACAAAATTTTATTTTTAATTTGTTGTCTCTGTTATTTACTCATTTTAATTAATATCTCTTTGCTATAAATGAGTTTATTTTTTATTCACAGTTTTTTTAAGATATATTTTTAGTTAGTGATAATGTTATAAAAGCATTATTTCAATCATGTAATTTGTGCAATGTTCATGGGGAATAGTGTATTAATTTCAACTAAATTAAACACACCAAAAAAAACTAGATCAACTGATTTGCTCAAACTCATTGATGTGTTATGAGGCCGAAAATGTGATTTATAAATAAGTTCTCAAGTGGTGGAAAAGATGCTGACGAAATTTATATTAAAAACTATTTCTTCCACAATATTACTAAAAAGTACCAAAATGTTCAAAACTTTTAATTAGTTTTGGAATTTTCAAATAAAATAACCTTAAGATAACAATTTTTCATCAAATGTGAATTGGTGAGTGGTGGATAAAAGGCAATGTCTAGATTGTAATAAGATCTTTGATGCATTCTGCTTATTTTTCAACTTTATAGTCTTAAAACTGAATTAATCATTGACATTTCTTTTTTTAAATTTTTTTATAGGAAGACACAATGGCCCTAAAAGATTTCTTAGAAGAAGCAGCTATCATGAAAGAAATGAAACATCCGAATTTAGTGCAACTACTAGGTATGTATATTATTCAGTTCAATAATAAAGTTTGATTTATTTTTTATCTATGCTCAAGTTTCTGCATTTAATTGTCTGTTTGTAAAAGTGAATATTTTTTTTATTTTTAAATGCTACAATATGAATATTGTAAAAAAATTGTAAAGGGATTAAATCAAGCAAATTATTTGAATTCCTTTTTAAGAGAATATTTTATTATGCATTATTTTTTTTCTTTTTCATGAATATTTGTAATAGTTAGGGATGCAAACCAAAACAGAAACTATACAATCTGGAAACAAAAATGCTCCTTTTAAAAAATGAATATTTTTGGTTTCATAGCTTTTAAATTACATGATTATTTATAATGCTTCAAGTGTAATAAATCAATTAAAAAAGTATTGTAATCAATTTTGACCATTTTAATTCAAAAGAAGGCCTTTTTAATAGTAATTTCTTAAAAATATTTTTGTATCTCTATAAATTGCTTTTTTTGTTATTGACTCTTAGTTTGATTCTGCCTAATTCTTTTGTTTTATTACAATTATTATTATTTTTTTTGGAATTAACATTTATTTTGCTTTCTGTTATAAATTAATTATAAAATGCATGATGTAAAAAATAGCTTTCTGCCTAAAGTTCTTTTTAAAACTGTTATTATTTAAAATTTTCAGAAAAACTTCTCTTAAAAACCTTGTAACAACCCTGGCTAATTGTGACTTTTTCGTCTACTAAATATTATCAAGCATAATTGAATTATTATTATTTTTTAATTCCTAGATTAAATTTTGAGGTGATATTAAGAAGAAAAAAAAATATTTTTGTTAATTTAAATTTCTATAAAGCATTAAATAAACTTTAAGTAACATACTTTTGAGATATCTTAAGCTCTATTATTATTTTTAGATAATTTATAATACTTTCTATTTTTAGATATTTTATAGGACTTTCTAAAATAATGATAATTTTATATCAACATAAATCGATAATACATTATTATCAACCTAATACAAATGTATAAGACTGAGTTGTACCAACTTCTGAAAGCTGTCAAAATTTGAGATTCAAGTATTATTTAATTAAGATGTATTTATTTTTACTGTAAAGTGAACACCATTTTTTCGTCGGCACAATAATATTAAAGTTAATATAGTATCTTGAAATTTCATAGAAGTTCAAGAAAAAAGTGTAAAGCACAATTGTGATGCTACAATAGGCATTACATATTTCCTAACTTTGAAATTTCTTAAATTTATTATTTTTTTTTAATAATTCTTAATCCAATTATTTCATTTTTATTACATTTTATTAAAAGCTAATATAAATATTTTATTCTTTTCTTAACAATCAATGTAACATTTAACTTTTTATTTCTATACTAATGTAAAACTCATTAATTCACTGTCGTGACTAAATTGAAAACAAAAATCTATTTGTAGCTCTTTATTTTTTACCACAAAAATGTTTCAGTTACATGGTTATGCTAATTCTGTTATGTAGTATAATACGGTGAAAAGACGAGGTTATGGGGAAAAGGCAAAATGTGCTCCTCAATCAAGGAACAGAAACACATTCCAGCAAAAATCGTGGGATGAGCAGATTTTGCAACATTTGAGTTGCCTGTGGATATCGTGGGATGATCAGACGGGTTAATGCACATTTAATCATGTATAATATCTTTATATATATTTAATTTAATTATAAAGCTATCAAAAGATGTAAAAAATATTCCATAATCTTTACAATTAATATTTCTTTTTTCTTTAGGTGTTTGTACACGAGAGCCTCCATTTTACATAATAACAGAATTCATGCCTTGTGGTAATTTATTAGATTACTTAAGAAATGCCAATAGAGACGAAATAAATGCAGTAGTCCTCATGTATATGGCCACTCAAATTGCATCTGCTATGTCTTATTTAGAATCACACAGCTTCATTCACAGGTAATATATTTCAATTATATAGCATCTGTATAGTATTTTTATTAGTTGAATTTGTAATAGTACCATGTTAAAAATAGTCACAATAGAAACTTAATCATCTAAACCTCTTATGTTTATTTTAATAACTAAAACCAATTCTGGATATTTTTTTAAACACTTTGTACTTAGTTTTTTTTTCTTGTTCTAATTATATCTTTTTATGTTAACAGTAAGAAGCTCACCAACTCACACAATTGCTCTTCATTCATTTTTATATCTTGACTATAAATTGATTGTTACGTCAAAATAAAAAAATTATTTCAATTCAATGATCTCAAAACTTTCTATTGCAGCTTGTTTATTTACACAAATAGATTTAGTTTTTATTTTGTTTGTATACTTAATCTTAATGTATACTTAATCATTTTTCTCTGTTGCTGTTGTAACTTCATCCCAAAATTTGTTTTTAAACTGTTCTTAAATTTTGAATTATTATAAAAACTTTCCAAATCGATAATTTAGCAGTGTAATTCTTAATATTGCTTAATATTTTTAAATATTGATTCATTTTTTTAATTGCATACATTGACAGTTTACAGTTTAACATTAAATTTACAATGATTAGTAAATGTAAATAAAACTTAATTGCTGCATCTTTAAATAATTATAAAACTAAATATAATAATATCGTTAAATGTATAATATAAATATATCATAAAATGTGTAATAAGTTATATATAATTACTTTGTTCTATAATAATGAAACACTTCTAGTTTTATATCTTTAATCTTGAACAATAATCAAAAAAGGTACTTTGGATTATCTCGTCAACCATTTTCGCCAAACCCGATATTATCGACAAACGATAGCTTCTGTGGCAATAACCGCAAATTTTATCGTGTTTATGATAATGGAGTTCGACGAAACAAGAAATACCTCAGTACTTTAAAAGCTATCAAGGATTTTTGGCCGTCAAAATGATTTATAATAATGTATATGATTGGATTCAAGAATAATTCAATGTGTAATTATTAAAATTAAAAAAAAATAGAGGTTTTTACTTTGTTTTGATTCTTTTTATTACACTTTTTTATTATATATTTTTACACTTGCATTTTTTTTGTTATTATTATTTTATCATTATTTGATAAATTTAATTTGTTTAGAATGTTTATTTTGGAAATTGCTTTTCATTATGATGGCGCCATAGGATTTGCGCATTTCACGAGCATTGATAGGTCGACAGGATAATCCCAAAGTACTTCAAAAAATACTAATTACAAAAAATAATATTCCCTTTATTGTCTTTTCTAGGGACTTGGCTGCCAGAAACTGCTTGGTTGGAGAAAATCACTTAGTGAAAGTTGCTGACTTTGGTTTAGCAAGATTAATGCGTGATGACACATACACTGCACATGCTGGTGCAAAATTTCCTATTAAATGGACCGCTCCTGAAGGTTTAGCTTATAATAAATTTTCTACGAAGTCTGACGTGTGGGGTATGATATTCCTAATAGTTTTTTTTATGCTTATTAAGATTACTCTATAATTTAAATTTTCCAATTAGTATAAATTCTTATTTTAATATGGAGCAAAAAAATAGCATTTTTAAATGCATTTTAATAGTGATAACGTAATACTGTTTTTATATATATTTTTGTGGCAAAATTATGTTATTATTTTTTGAATATAATAAAGCTCTCTTTCTTGTTTTAACATTCTTAAACATGTGATGACTTTTTACAATAATTTTTATGTTTCTTTTTTTTTATACAAATATCCTGAAAACTTGTGTGCTAACTTGTTGATATCTTAAAATATTGCTGAAAAATTTATGACGTATTGTTTCAGTTTAATATGTTAATAATTTTAATGCATGTTAGATCACGTGATCTGTCAAGATTGTCTTAGATCTTTCAAGACCTTAACTTCTGAGGAAATAGCATTTCTAAGAATTTAAATTTAAAAATTAGTAATACCTTGACTTAAAGAAATGATGGGTGATACCTTGACTTTTTATTTAATGAATGACTGAGTTCTTTATCTACTAAAAGTTTGTTTTCAACAACAATATAGCAATGTTTAAAACAACTTGACCGTTATAGATCCAATATTTTTTTTTCTAATTTTTTATTAGCATATAGTGGTAGACCTGAAAATAAGCTCTCGCCACGTGGCAAGTCAACAAAAAAAGTGGCGAATTAAACCATTTAAAGATTAATGTACATCAATGCTGAAAAACTCGAAAACAGAATTTTCATTAAAATGTTTGTTTCCATTCAAAATTTCGATCCTTCAGAATCAATCAACTTGTAATAAAAAGATTCATATGAAAGGAGAGTTCTTTAACAATTCATCTATTTCAAAATTGTAACATATACGTTAAATGTGTTTTGCCACCCCAAATATTTATTTTTAAATAATATTCTTTAAAGTCAGTATGTTTAACTAAATTTTGTCACATATTTATATTATTTTTATTGTCTCATTAACGTTTTATAGCCATAAATTATTCCAAATATGAATTTTTTTTTTAATATAATTTTATCCAAACAAAAAGAAATTTTGTAAAAAGTAGCCATTAAATGACCTATCGATATCGGTCACCTATCCATTAGGCTTGAGGAAAAGTGACTACTAAGTTACTAGAGTCTACTGGCCACAGGCTACTATCTGCAGATATAAATTTTTAGGTATACATAGTGATCTATATTTAAAATATAATGTGTAATAAAATTTTATTATATGTTTAGCTAGTATTAAATTATGTTAGAAAAGTATTCAATATTTGAGTTCAAGTACTACCTGCAATGTGTCATTTAAAATATGAATTATATTATTTATAGCAATACATAAATGCAATTTTACAGGTTTTTAACTTTATGTTTTCAACCATAGTTAAGGGCGCTAAAAACAGACGCATGCTAAAATTTTGTCAATCTTGGTTTAAACCAATGCTTTTCATTCTATATTATAACACATGTTTTTCCTCAATTTTTTCAAGAATTTTCAAAAAAAGGTACAGTTATTATTTTCATTTGATTTTTAGAATCATGACTCTGAAATTGTGATTCTAGGAAGAAAAAAAAAATTTCTTTAAAAAGAAATTCATCATCAACCTTGTTAAGTTTCAATGTTTACTCATTGTCCTATTTTTCTGATACTCTCTTTTTGTGACATGAAAATACAGTTAAAGTAGTATAACATATCTAATAGGTGATTGGGTCTGCATCTAAGTTGTTACCGCCAAGTTTAGTTAAAGTGAATCAAATCTGAAATTTCTATTTAATTAAAATATATAATTAAAATAAATAATTGCACATACATTAATTAAAATAAATAAATTTTAATTAAAATAAATAATTGCACATGCAAATGTGCTATACGTAATTATTGTCTTCGCCTAGCCCTGCAAGTTCTATGGTATTTTTATAGAAAATGGCCATTTTGCAGTTTTAAGCAGATTTAAAAATAAAAAAAATTAGGCATATGTTTAATAATTAAAATTAAATTGCTTGATTTATCTTTCTTAAACGAGTTCAATATTGCTCCCAAAAGAGTTCAGCAAAAATAAACTAAACGCAATAATAAACTAACTTTTTCACTATGGTTTTATTTATTTACAGCATTTGGCATTCTCCTGTGGGAAATTGCCACTTATGGAATGTCTCCATATCCCGGTGTGGACTTAACAGATGTATACCACATGTTAGAATCCGGTTATAGGATGGAATGTCCTCCTGGATGTCCTCCAAGGGTTTACGAGCTGATGCGACAATGTAAGTTATGTTGGATATTTTTAATAATTTTAAGAAAGAATTACTTATTGTTAAATAAAATTTTTATATTAATTATTAAAATGATGTAACAGGATTTGTAATTGTACAAACAATCAAAAATGTTTTTTTTTTTTTAGGCTGGCATTGGGAACCATCAGAAAGGCCCACATTCAAAGAAATTCACCTTACACTAGAAACAATGTTCCAGAACTCAAGTATAACTGAAGGTACTGCTTTTTGATCCCTTGTTACTTTTTCTATTTTAAATGGATTCATAATTTTACTTTTAAATTGAGGGTTCCTAAGAGATCAGGGAAACCTGTGAGAACCTGGAATTTTCAAGGAATTTAATTTTAGGAAAGAAGTTAGGATATTGTCAAGGAATGGTACATTTTTAACTAAAACTTGAAAAATTGATATACTTATAACCATATTTTCAGTTCTAATATACTATTTACAACACAATCATTGTTTTTAACTTGCTTTTAACGTACTTAATCACAAGTAAGATAGTGAAAACTATAAAATTTTTATGAATGTTGCACAAATTTTCTTCTATCCATAATTTGTATGGAAGTGTAACATTCGCCAAAAGAAATTTCAGTCCTTTTAATACATTTCTATTAAGAGATAGTTCATTATCAGAGATTGAATAAAAAATATATTTGATGAAATATTGTTTATAGCACAAATATGGTCTGGAATTATGTCAGTTTAGCCGGGAGAAGTTTAGTTCTGAAATTAAGAGGACATCTTGTATAAAGTTAATTGAATTAAGGGAATAATTAAAAAAAATGCTTTCAATTTTTTTTCAGAGGTTGAAAAACAGTTAGAACAACAAGCCCCACCTTCAAATTTTAAGAAGCATGATGGAAGTAGTGGTAATATTCAAGCTCTAGCATCTGAAGAAGTTGAACAAGGTAAACTTTTTAGATATTTCTTTATATGAGAATTACATTTTCTGATAAATCTTTTTGAGGGATATTAACTTTTTAGTTTCATTTATGATCGACTGCTTGATTGTTTATAAATGTATCTCTTGAATTTTCTGCAAGGAAAATGAATTTGAATCTAGTCACTTTATCAAATCCTGATGCTGTTTTTTCTTTTTTAACTTTTATTTTCACCTCACTTCTCTACTACTGCTATTGTTGAAATGAACTGAAAAAATTATTAGTTTATAAATGATTTAAATAACATTGTGGCACTCTCTTCGGGCATTGAAAGTCTTTTTCTGGAGCATACATTATTTACAATACACAGGGATGAGATTCTTCCGCGGATTTCCACTTTTTCTCAGATTTTTCCGCTAATTTCTGCTGAAATTGTTATTTGCACAAGTTAAAATATTTTATGAGGAATTTAATTTTCCGCGGATCAAAATTATTGAAGTCCTCATTCCTCCATCTGAAGTTTCTCTAAAAATCATTTCCTTGGGATAAAACTGGTTGACCTTTATACAGGGAAGAGATTTTTTTCGCTTTTGTCTCTCGAACTTCAGCCGTTTTATCAAAAACTCAGATTCTCTAAAAGTTTCGTTTTTTTTATTTATTTATAAATATCCCGTTTTTTTTTTTTTTTTTTAAAAATTCAGTCGTTGAAGTCAAATAATTATATTTGTTTACGATTTTCGACGAAAAACAGAAAATTCAAACTACGTCCTA